TAATATCATACTGAAATTTCAGACAACATTAACCAAAATGTAATGATCAAAATAACAAAGATGAGGATAATCGTTTGAATAATTTGTGGAATATTAATATCATATTGAAATTTCAGACAACATTAACCAAAATGTAATGATCAAAATAACAAAGATGAGGATAATCGTTTGAATAATTTGTGGAATATTAATATCATATTAAAATTTCAGACAACATTAACCAAAATGTAATGATCAAAATAACAAAGATGAGGATAATCGTTTGAATAACTTGTGGAATATTAATATCATATTGAAATTTCAGACAACATTAACCAAAATGTAATGATCAAAATAACAAAGATGAGGATAATCGTTTGAATAATTTGTAGAATAATAACAACCCTTCTCTTCAGATTATTCAAAACTTTTAATCTTATTTATGTCAAAACCCACCTTGCTTGCGTCTGGGCCGTCCAGGCTGACTTCTCGGGTAAAAATCATCATCTTATCAGGATTCATGTCCCACATCAGCAAGTCACCAGGTTAAGGCAAACATAAAACTGAATTATGGCAGAAAGTGCTCAATACACAATTCTAGTATAATGCGTAGAGAGGAGAATTGTAATATAAAAGACTGAAAAATTCACTGTTAACTGGACCCGAGTTTCAACCTTACGATCTCATCAAGTGGTTTTTGGTTAATAATTTATTTGTAGCACTACAAATTATTTACCAAAAATAACCTGATGAGTAAGGTTAAAACACAGGCCGGGTTAACAGTGAGTTTTTCAATCCATACATACATACCTACATATACATATATATTTTTTTTTCCTCGAGAAAAAAAAAGAGGTAGTATTCTGCTTTTTGAAATTAAAATAACCGTTCACTTGCCAGTAGTTCAGCATTGCCTGAGGAGACACATTTGTAGTATTGAAATATAATTGTAATTGCGTAGCAATTTTTTAACATGCTTTTGTTTATATATATAATAAACCAATGAAATGTTCATATAAAAAAGAAAAATCCAGAAGTATAAGCAGTTAATAGCTGACACCTCCTGATAAGTTGTCAGAGTGATTCCTGGAGGCTTCATCTACGAAACTCTGGAGTCATGATGCATAACATCAAACAGCTGACAAACCTTTTATTTTATATATATATATATATATATATATATATATATATATATATATAATAATCTTATAAATATAAGTAATTATACTCGTCCGGAAAAAGCTTAGGTGTTTTGGCTTGTAAATGAACAAACCAAAACCCAATGAAAAATAAGGGATAAAAAAGAAAGAACAAAGAACATGTAATTGAGGCGAAAACAATCGTCCAGAATCCAAGCTCAGAGTCCAAAGAAAAAAACCTCCAAAACGAGTAAAGCAAAAATAACTAAGCAAAGTGCTCAATACACTAAGTAGAGAAAATCTAACTATGAACCTATGCGGATCGTCAGGTTACACTGGCCAGGGGCTGACGATCCGCATAGGTGAAACCTAGGTAGGTTTGCCTGGCTCTTCATAGTTATATATATATATATATATATATATATATATTACGATAAACGTGCAATCAATTTACAAATTCATGAATTATTCACACAAAAGCAAAGGTTAATGATTTAATTGGCGAGAAATCCATCATCGCAAACAATTCAAATAATATACAAAAACCTCCGAATCCGTTATGAATGAATTGATCCTTGTTTCCATAAATTTCTGCTGTATTAGTTCTTATTTTTACTACAAGCTTTCGTCTGTTCCTACAGACATCTTCAGGTATAGAATAGATGTTGTTCTTGTTTTTTCTCTTAGTAATAAGAGGACAACGAAAATATATGTATTGTTGTATCCGAAAATGCTATTGAAAATGAGTTATTGTTTTTGGAGCGCCAGTAGCAACGCTGAGTTTGATTTTAAATTTTTAAAGGTTGTGCGTTCATATAAATATGGTGATGAATGAATTTTTTTACTGGTAAATTTTCTGTCAAAGTGGCATGAACTATATTGTTCAATAATTACAGTAATTTATGGAAACAAGGATCAATTCATTCATAACGGATTCGGAGGTTTTTGTATATTATTTGAATTGTTTGCGATGATGGATTTCTCGCCAATTAAATCATTAACCTTTGCTTTTGTTTTTGTGTGAATAATTCATGAATTTGTATATATATATATATATATATATATATATATATATATATATAGCATGCGCACACACAGACACACACACACACAGAGCAGATACATACTTATACAATATGCATATACGTACATACACACAAATATCTTTATGTATGCATACTATATATATTAACTCGCACATATACTCACACAGATTCACTAGAAAAAATTCACTGTTAATAACTGATCTTGAATTGCCCCGCCTCCAAATCAAAGTCTGTTTTGCCTTAGGAACCACTGGTCTCCAAACATAAGGAAAGGTACACCTTCCTAAAGGAGCAGTCGAACTATACTGACAGTGTTTATTAATGTCAGGATTACAGAAGCAACTGAATCATTTCTATTGATTGGTCAGAGGGTTATTAAGACATTTATTGACATGTAGATCTGAACCTATACATAATGCCATCTATATTTTTTGATAGTGTTGTTCTATGTACTGTGTCCCTTCAGGACGTAGGTGATCATGGCTCTCCATAATTTCCTGTCCTTTGTAGCGCTTAATAAACTTTGTCCTTTTGTTATCTCACCTAAACTTTGATCCATCATCCATTTACTCAAGCTCATTCTTCTATGTACTGTGTCTCCTCATGACGTTGGCGATCATGGCTCTCCTTAATTTCCTGTCCTTTGTAGCTCTTAATAAACTTTGTCTTTTTGTTATCTCTCCTAAACCTTGTAATGTCATCCATTTACTCAAGTTCCCTAGGTAGGTTATGCATTGTTCTCTGTTCCTTTTGCCATCAATCTGTCCCGTGAGTATCGAAATTTCCAAACCCTCTTTCCTCATTATGTGCTCTAGAAATTTCAACTATCTCTTCCTGATGCTAAGTATAAATGTCCTTTTTGTTTCCATTTTCTCCAAAAAGGGTGCTACTATAGGATATCTGCAGAGGTATTTGTGACTGACTGTTAATGACAATGCACTTAGAGGAGTCTGCACCAATTCCTTAAACAACATAGTGTTATTTTAACCTAAAGGGTGGAGTATTTATCTAATTTGTATTCATAAAGGAGGCATTTATCTAATTCGATTACAAAATAAACAAGCTAACATCAGACAAAATAATCTCAATTGAAGATGAAGTTGTGTCCTTTTTAAGAATGAGGATTAGGATTAGGGTTTTTAACATATTTCATACTTCCAACAGTTGGTAGATATCATACCATAGTGGAAACTGGACAGTAGATATCATACCATAGTGGAAACTGGACAGTAGATATCATACCATAGTGGAAACTGGACAGTAGATATCATACCATAGTGGAAACTGGACAGTAGATATCATACCATAGTGGAAACTGGACAGTAGATATCATACCATAGTGGAAATTGGACGGTGGATATCATACCATATGGATATCATAGTGGAAATTGGACGGTGGATATCATACCACCATAGTGGATAACCATAGTGGAAACTGACGGTGGATATCATACCATAGTGGAAACTGGACGGTGGATATCATACCATAGTGGAATCATACCATAGTGAAAATGGACGGTGGATATCATACCATAGTGGAAACTGGATGGTGGATATCATACCATAGTGGAAACTGGAAAGTAGATATCATACCATAGTGGAAAATGGACGGTGGATATCATACCATAGTGGAAAATGGACGGTGGATATCATACCATAGTGGAAAATGGACGGTGGATATCATACCATAGTGGAAACTGGATGGTGGATATCATACCATAGTGGAAACTGGACAGTAGATATCATACCATAGTGGAAACTGGACAGTAGATATCATACCATAGTGGAAACTGGACAGTAGATATCATACCATAGTGGAAACTGGACAGTAGATATCATACCATAGTGGAAACTGGGCAGTAGATATCATACCATAGTGGAAACTGGACGGTGGATATCATACCATAGTGGAAACTGGACGGTGGATATCATACCATAGTGGAAACTGGACGGTGGATATCATACCATAGTGGAAACTGGACGGTGGATATCATACCATAGTGGAAAATGGACAGTAGATATCATACCATAGTGGAAAATGGACAGTAGATATCATACCATAGTGGAAAATGGGCAGTAGATATCATACCATAGTGGAAAATGGACGGTGGATATCATACTATAGTTTTAAAGGAATTTTTTGTACTGGTGATATCAAATTTTTTAACTGTTGGATTTTCTCTAGATGAAATAGTACTTAGGTAAATAAGGAAATCAGTATGGCACCTATTTTGTAAATGACTAACCACTGTTGAAATAAGCATATTCCCCAAATGAGGTAATTTTTGGATTTTATTGTGTACTAAATAAATAAATTTATATAAATATATATATATATACATATATATATATATATATATATACATACACATATACACACACATGCATGCATTCACTAAATAGATCTCTATTTTTTTTTTCTCCACTAGCTTATATGCCACATTGTGCTATTATTATTGATTTTATAATTATCGGTGATATTCCGTATGAGCCTGGTCTTAGGTTTAACGTTTGGAATTTTGAGATCAGTGCACTTTCAATAAATTTCCTTCTTGGTGAAACCTTTTCTCTCCTGGTCAGACTGACATTTATTAATTTAAAATTTTGTTCAGATGTATTATGGTGAACTATATTTAAAGTGTTAATGATGTACATTGGTGAAACATTCAGAAATGTCAAAAAAAAAAAAAAAATGACTATATGAGCATTTTCTGATACTCTTAGCAAAATATTTTAACAAGGATGATTAAAGATTTTCTATATGTTGTATTATCATTTTTTGAATTTGTTTCATGAGCCAATGTAAATTATTAATAAATCCTAATCATTTCTATACCAATCAGCATTTAATATTGACAAAGACTTTGTTAAAAAAAAAAAAAAAAAGGATATTTCAAATGTTTGGTCTGGTTCAGAAATCTTTTCATCATCAATTGTGTAAAGATACCTGCAGAAAGAAAAAAAATACATAAAAGCTTTTAACATTCAAAACAGTAAATTTTTTTGGCTTCTTTTGTCAAATTTCTGTTTTTTTTATGTGGCTGGAAGATGTGAGATTTTTGCATTGTGTGGATGCATATGTGAAAGTGCATGTGTTAAAACACACTCACATGTGAAGGTGCATAGCATGCATATGCACATGTGAAGGCGTACAGAATAGAAAGGCAAGTTAGGCCATATAATGAAATGCAATACAAAATTCATACCAGTTTAACATTATTATAATGTAGAATAAGAGTACAATTTATCAAAAAATGATGCTTAAGTACGAGGCTGGGCTGAAAAGTTCATGAGCTGACTATGAAGGAGTGATGCTTGAACTGTGAAATCTTGCACGCATTAATTTCAACTCTTCTTATTAATAACTGCATTTTTTATTTCCAGGTAAACTGACACCTCACTGTTCAAAGAAGACTGTTCATCTAGTTGGTCAAAAATGTCATCAACAGTAGATGTCACATCATCACTGCTATACTGGTTCCCAACCAAATTTTTTTTGTGTTGGGGAACAGATGGTAGTCAAATCAGGAGTATAGAGAGGGTGATCAACTTGTTCACAGCCACAGTCATGCACAGCAGCCATTGAAAGCAAGGACTTGTGTGCTGGAATATTGTCTTGATGAAATAAGACACTTTTGTCAGTTTTCCTGAGCATGTGATTTTGATAACCTTTTGTAACTGTCTCAGAAAGTTGGCACAGTACTCTCCATTGATGGTGTGGCCCTATTGAAAACACCTTTTTCATCCTCAAAAACTGAGGCCATCACCTTTGCTGAAGAGGAAACCACTTTGGTTTTCTTTGGAGCAGGTGAGGAGGCAGATTGTGATCAGAAACCAGCTGGATCTGCCTCAAACAATATCAGATTTTCCCATGATGTGATCAGCTGGCATACTTTGGATCAGGTATCAAAAGACATGACAACCAGGGGAAAAACCTAGTTTACTGTGCAGAATATTAATTTTCTCATGCAATATGCAAATAGCATTGGTTATTTGGTTTATAATTAATCACCTGACATCCATCACCATGTGGTAAACACAATGTTTTATCCAGTGATGGCAGTTACAGGACATCTAGACCCTGGGTCATATTCAAGAATCTCCCCTGAATGTCTTTGGGGGCCAAACCCTTTTTCTACAGGTACTTGATAATACCACAATGACAAATTTTGTCAATTTTCAAGAGAAGTCACCACTGGTTACTTTTGAAGTCTTCTTTGGACAATCAGGTGTCAGGTTACCTGGAAAAATACAACGGAGTTATTAATAAGAAGAGTTGAAATTAATGCATACAAGGTTTTACAGCTCTAGCATCACTCCTTCATAGTCAGCCTATGAACTTTTCAGCCCATCCTTGTAAGAACCATTTTAGATTTAAAAATTTACCTTTTTATTTTTTAATGCTTCATTAAAAACACATCTATGAAGGAGAGAAACGTCTAAATCAAAGTGATTAGACACTTGTCGAAACTGATAAGGAATATACTGTATATACTTGTTGATAGGTCACACTTCTTTTACCAAAAATTTCACAAAATATTAGGGGTGCCACCTATCCGCTCGACATAAATGTAAAACAACACTACCTTGTCATCATGATTTCTGAGAAATCAAAAATGATATCGATAAAACACTAAAGCTGTGGTTTTTCTCCGTATAGAAATAATTTATCTATCATACTGACTCGCTGCTTTAAACTTACCTCATGCAGCTAGATTCACATATTCAACACAATAAATAAATAAAATTATAAAATATTCATTGATCCATCAATCACCATTTGATCGGGGATCCTCGCACTAGCCTGAAACCCTGATCATACATAAGTTAAGGAAACACGTGTAGATGTTTATTGACAAAGAAAAAAATAGTCCCATGATTCATTCTGCAAAATATATTTTATCAAAAATACATTGGAAAATATGACTTAAAGAAAAGAAATATATTCTTTATGAGATAATTTTCTTTAATGATTGTTTCAGATAACATTAAAAGGAGTTCTTAAGTGTTTATTTACAAAAAAACAAAATGCATGAATCTAGTACCCAAAACGTTTGCACTATTTTGTATTTTAACTGCATAAGTGTATTAATAATTCTAAGTTGTGAAATAAAAGGTAGATATCTGATAATTCTTACGTTTAAAAAGGGCTGTGGAACTCCCCAGATTATAGTGCGACCTATCTGCGAGTCAACAGTAAATCATCAATTATTAAGCCATAAAGTAGGGGTGCAATCTATCCGGTGGGGTGACCTATCCGCAAGTATATACAGTAATAGGTTTTTTTTTTCTCCACTATATCATGGTTATGCAAGGTATGAGAGAGTGATTTAAACAAAAACTCACGCATTGAAATGGCAAGTGACATGACATGCCAGTGATGAGGCTTTTTATTGTTTATATATCAAAATCATAAAAGGCAGGGAAAAGAATTTAGTTCTTGTGTCAAATGGAAAACTCTGAGACAATGAGAATGATAAAACTTACCAGCAATCTTTGTTAATACGTCCCAGTGTATAAGCAGCACCATCTACAGACAAATTTATGGTAAATGTATTAAAATATTAAAACAGATATAGGAAAAGCACGTCATAGCATACAGAGTACAAGGGAATGCTTAAAATTGAATGAAGGGAAGAAATATTTACATCGTTCGGACTATTGCCATCATCTTTATTGCCATATTCACGTTTCGGCCATTGTTATTGGTTTTTCAAAATATTTAAATATAAGAATGCTCATAAATATTCATCAGGTCAGCTGAAAAGTCAGTCAAACTATGGAGGACATGAAGTGACACAATTCAATGTCTAAGTGAGTAAAAAGTGAGTAAAAAGTGAGTAAATGATATTCTTGAATTTTTTTTTTTATTGCAAGTTAGTATTTAAATATTTCAGTTTATTTTAAATAACATGAGGTTAGGAATTTAGCTTTTTCTTTTAATTTTGTAACATTTTTATAGTCATGTATGTTGTCTTGGGAAAGGAGTAATTCTTTCAGGAATGGAGATATTTGGAAAACCTCCAGGACACAGATTTATATTTTAAGATTTAATAGCAGCACTTTCAAGAATTTTCCATATAAGTAAGTTTCTTTCTCTTTTAATAAGCATTGTATTCTTTAGGTCAAAGTGGCATTTTAATTTATTTCTATGTATAACTTATGCATTTGATAAATTGTTTTGTATAAGATTCCTTGTGTGTTCATAGATATGATTTTTTTTAATTATACATTAAATCAGCTAGTATTCTTGAAACTAAAGTTTCAGAAAAGTATATTTTTTTTTGGAAGATTTCTTTTTAATAAAGAGAATTACATTGCAATGAAAGACTACTAAAAAATGGGATTAATCAGCTATTTTAGAAAAAAAAAAACTCCTTCCAGTCAATTTAAATTAGTTTTGAAATACAGCAAAGTATTTTGTTTACTGGAAATATTAGATTTAATCTATTAGCTTGAGATTAAAAGTAAAAGCTTCAAGAACGATCATTCATTTTTAAAAATTCATTTTAAACCTTAGGTATTTTGTTTTTTGTGGTGGTACTTAATAAATATAATATATAAGAAATGTTGTCTATGTAAAATTTCAGATAGAATTCATCTGTAAAAGAATGATATGAATAAAGACAAAAGGAAAACTTAGCCAACATGTTTCATCTTCTGATGGACTTTAGCAAGGCAAAGATTTTCTTTTATAACAAATATTTATAGACAATAGTAAAAATGTTAGATTTAAAAAATTTAAGGAACACTCAAATATTCATCAGGTTAACTGAAAAGTCTAAGTTATGGAGGATGCTAATTGATACTCTTTAATGTCTAAAAGATGTTCTTGAAATTTTTTATGCAATTTAATATTTAAATTAATTTAGTTTGGGATTAATTTATGTATTATATATTTAAAATAACATGAGGTTAGGAATTTAGCTTTTTTCTTTCAATTTTGTAACATTTTTATAGTCATGTATGTTGTCTTGGGAAAGGAGTAATTCTTTCTGGAATGGAGATATTTGGAAAACATCCGGGACACAGATTTATATTTTGATAAGAGTTTATAATGGCATTTTTGATAATTTTTTGTCTGTTACTTTCTCTTTTAATAAGTGTGGCATTCTTTAGATCAAAGTTTTGGTTGAATTTATCTCTGTTTATGACGATAAATTCTTGTGTATAAGATCACTTTTGTGTTTATAGAATCAATACTGGATAGAGTGATAAAAGTTAGCAATGTTCTTGAGAAATCTATTTTCCTGAAAAATTGTTTTAAGAGAAAAATTTTATAAATTTCAACCAAAGACAGCACTAAATAAATGCAGTCAATAAATGCTGAATGTTTCCTTATAAGGTAGCAACTAATATAACCATTATTATATTCTTTATAATCTGACCTATTTCAATATATCATTTCAAAGAGAAAAAAAACTATACAGACACACATGTTAAGTAGCATTATTTGGTACACTTACATGCATAAAGCAATATTTACGGTTTTTTTCCCCCACTTTAGCTTGGAATTTGTTATTTATTTGAGCATTGAAGGAAAGCATCATCTCTCCTTGAGTTTAAGCTTGGTTTGTTTTGTTTTACGACACCACAATGGGTTATTTAATGCCAACAAGATTTTCACCACCGGTAATATTCCTTCCAAAAAATGTACTGCAGGAAATATTTCTTTCCCTCAAATGTATTGTTGAGAATAATTTTTTTTTTCAAAAATATCTAGCTGGTAATAATTTTTTCTTCAAAAATTTATTGCTGGTAATAATTTTTTGCAAAAATGCATTGCTGGTACTAAAATCTATTTTTAGACTTTCATAGTGCTTTGACCCCTGTTTGGGAGTTAACTATTTGCCCATAGCGGACCTGGGAACACCAGCAATTAAGAGGTGGCTCCATGCTCCTCAAAACTTCCTGATCAGAGACCTTGCTGTTGGATGTAATTTATCATCTTACCTACCTTATGCTAGAGTTCAGAACATGACTTATACTAATGCTGCTTAGAAACCTGCTTAAACAATGAAAATCAAACACAAAAACACCAGATTTCATTCTCTGATGAACCTTTAATAAAAGTTAGATTTATACATGTCTATATTTCTGAGATGAGGTATTATGTACATTATTCGGTCTATTGTCCTCATCTTTTTCACCATATTTATTACAATGCGGCCATTGTACGCTCCGGCCTTTTTCAGGTGGTTGGAGTGTCGAACTGAACAATTTATTTTCACTCACTGGTATACTGTTCTAGTTCCACATGCCATGTTTAATGGATGTCAGTTATCAGTTATCTCCTGTTAATTCCCCTCTGAAAGTTCTCCACTTCCTTAACTGGAACTCACACTCTTTGGGTCCTGTTACTGGATCTAACTAACGCCTTTATCCACTGTGCCATGTGTCCTTGAGGACATCTATGTATGAATTTCTGGGTATTATAAACCTAATGTCTTCAGCAACCATTTCTTACCAGTGTTCATATTGTGATTTTTACTGTTATCATTACATGTTTTTACCAGAGCTCATATTGCAATTTTTGTTGTTATTATTGCTTTTCTCTGGCACTCCTTATTACTGGTTCCCATATTGTATTCATTTCTATGCTTGGTCGGCTCAAGAGATTTTTGTGGCCTAGCATATGTGCTGATTCCTTAAGTTTGCAAATTTTCCAATGGTGTTCTTTGTCTATGATCTCAACCTGATTCCACAGAGCACGGTGATCTCCCTTTTCTCTCCATACGTGGTCAGCTATGCCTGATTTTTCCACTTCCCCTTGTGTTACAGCTTTCTGGTGTTCATGAAGCTTTACCTTAAGAAGAAGGCTGGAGCATACAAGAGCCAAAACATTGTAATAAATATGACGACAAAGATGAGGACAATAGCCCGAATGTTTCCTATTTGTTCTTTAGTCTATCATTTATATATGTAGGATGCCTACTAATAAAAATGATGGGGAGGAAATAAAAAAGAATCTAAATGGAATCAGCTAGATTAAAACAAAATTTTTTTGAAATTTAAAATTCCCAGCATCCCTCATTCATGCAAATGTGTAGTCACACCAATATAACAAACTTGATCTGATGAAGTCAAAAAAGAATGAAACATGTCACAAGAAAACCTTTTCTATTTTGTCATACATTTTCTCTAATATTGTTCCTGATATATAAAAATATATATCACAATCTTCCATGTTTCCCCATAGAGTATGCTGGTTCGAATACTGCCGGAGGACGTATATTTTTCTAACAAGATTTCTCAAATATTCAGGCCAGTAGATGTAGTTGGATAAAAAATACTATTTAATTAAAAAATACATCTACTAAAATATGATTATCCATCAAAAAAAATAAAAAAAATGTTTAAACAAAATAAATTAAAAATAACATTTAGTGTTAATTTGAAATACATTCTTTAAAACCAAAATTGTTTTTTTTTCAGTGGTTTGCTGATAAGGAGGCATTTAACTTATGTTGGAGGGTTCTTGATTGGGCCTTCACCACAATAGGTAAAGAGGAGTAAATGCGATAGGCAATGATAAACTACAGAAGAACTCAAAAAGGTTCAAAGTTCAGATCTTATGAATGAGATTTAGTCTCTAACTTTACGAGATCATATGGTTTTATTATCTTACAAGGTGCACCTGACTACCTTTCAGGGTGATTAAGTGTGCCTGCGAAGAGGCAGGGAGGAGCACATGTGATAGGCAATAATAAAATACAGAAGAATTCAAAATTGATTGCTGCATTTAAGTATTGCATTAATATCTAAGCTTAAAAACTTCAAGAATAATTCTTCTGCCGTCACATATTTTAAAGACAATTTGATGGACGTATTTCCTTACTTTCAATACAAACAATTACTTTTATTTCATGGGTGACTTTTGCTGGATTTAGCAATTAATTTTAAAATTTATTTCGAAGTTATAAAAATTGTTATCACACAAAGAAAAATTTGTTGCAAAAAAAATCTTGTAAAAAAAAAAAAAAAATGCCCAAAACAATCCCACAGTAATCAAAACTTGGGAATCAAAAATTTCAGAACTACGTTTCTGGATTGGGCCCAAAATGTTTTAATTTTGCTCAAGGGATCGGCCTGATTCCAAAATGGTATGACATGTTGGGCTACGACCACTATAAGTAAAAGTGAAAAAGTGTGACACAGTGACGTTTGCATTTATTATATAGATGAGAAACAAAAAAAATGGCTTATCTATTTTTCATGATAAACGCTTTCAAACTTATTTACATGTTATCACAACGTTTTCATCAGATTTATGCTGATTTGTGTAACCTACACGACATTGCGAATAGAACCCATTATTTCATCTACAGGAGTAGACTGTTCTTGTTCCACTGCCCATGTTTAGGGGTATCTCGTCTAGTTCTTATTTTTAGTACTGTGCAATTTCTGCCCATCCCCGTTTCCACTGTGTGCAAGCACAAACTGCCTGATCCAGAGATTGAACCCACAATTACTATGTCACCAAATTCACAAACCAACACTCTAACCATTAGGCTATTGTTAACTTTCAAATTTAGTTTGATGCCTTGTAAGTAATGTGGGTAAAAAAGTGATGACAAGTCACTTACTTTCAAACAATTCATCCAAATGTTTTACCTGCAAAAGAAATAAACACCATAATTAATACAAACAAGACAAACCTTGCAGCAATGATGATGATGATAATAATAATAATTTTGATCAAAAAGAAAGGATTTTTTTCCATTCAAATATAGGGGAGGGAAAAAAAGAAAGATGCTTTACATGTTATGTAGTTAACTTGTCTATTACTGTTATTTCTGTTTTACACATTTAGACAAAGATTTGCACAAAGCCAACCAGATTTGAATTACAAGCCATTTTTCAGTTTTAACAACAAAGGTCTTTTAATTAGAATAAGACCAAGTCTAAAAAATATATTAGACTCACAAGGATGAGAGAGAATAGTGGGAGCTGGAATAAGGAGAGAGAGAGAGGAAACAAGGGGGGGAGGGAACAAGGGGGGGGGAGGGAGAGAAGGGAACAAGGGGGGAGGAGGGGAGAGAGAGAGGGAACAAGGGGGGGGGGAGAGAGAGGGAGGGGAGGAGAGAGGAACAAGGGGGGAGGAGGGAGAGAGAGGGAACAGGGGGGGAGGAGGGAGAGAGAAAGGGAACAGGGGAGGGGAGAGAAAGGGAACAAGGGGGAGGAGGGAGAAAGAAAGGCAAACAACATTTGAGACAGAGAAGGCTTTTGCAAACTGTTTTACTTATAAAAGTTTTAACAGGCATTTATTTCTCCTAAATTAAACAAGGAGAGGAAACCATTTTTCTTTTTTTAAATAATTTTACCTCTGCTTCAAAACGTTGGTGAATTTCATGCTGTTTTTCTGGCCGAGCAAATTTCTTACGAGAATAAAAAACATCCTGTAAAATAAGAGAGAATATGCAATCAGGTATTGTCCATGATCAGGAATTAATAAAAAAAACAAACAAAAAAAAACAAAACAAGAAATCTTACTAACAGAATAAGTCTGCCATTTGCATAATTTCTTTATATACAAGAGATTTAAGAAACAACTGCTTTACTTCAAGTCATTATTATGTGTGAAAAAATTCAATGTTCTTTTTGTATTCTTCAATCAACCATTATTAATTGCAAAAGATCTATAAAGCAGAAACATAAAAGAGAGAGACACTGCAAGAGGGGTGTGTGTGTGTGTGTGTATATATATATATATATATATGTATGTATGTATGTAGATAAGAACAAGTGACTTACATCAACACAATCAAGGTTACATTTTTCCTTGACAAGTTTCAACAAAGGTTTGACAGCCAACAGCAACGTTGTTGTGCCACAGGTCTTCAGAATAAACCTACGCTTTGTGACAAACATACTGCTTTCACTAGAAAATGGGGAGAAAAAAAGAAAAGAGATGAAAAAAAACAGTTATTGGTAAAGAATCGACATTCACACTCAAGGCGACGTGGCTAATGTCTCAATTTATTACTTTAGAATAGACAGTCTATTGATAAAAACTTCTATGGAGCTTTTTTTTTTTTTTTTTAAAATCAATTCATACCAAGCATGGCAATAATGCTACTAAGACGCAAGATGATAATACCACTAAGACTCAAGGGACTACTGGGAGTGAAAGAGAATGAAAAGCCTTTAGAAGGAACCAGAAACCCAATCTTAACAAGGAGACCTCTTGTTCAAAAGCCCAGGGAGGAGTGTGAACTGTATGATAGGTGAACCTATTTTCTTTTTTTTAATCAATTCACCCCAAGCAAGGTGGTAATACCACTAAGACTCAAGGGGATACTGAGAGTGAAAGAGAATAAAAAGCCTTTAGAAGGAACTGGAAACGCAATCCTAACTAGGATACCTCTACTCTTGTTCAAAAGTCCAGAGAGGAGTGTGAACCATATGATAGGTGAACCTATTTTCTTTTTTTAATCAATTCACCCCAAGCAAGGTTATAATGCCACTAAGAAGCAATGGACTACTAGGAATGAAAGAGAATGAGAAAACTTTAGAAGGAACTGGAAACCTAATTCTAAAAAGGGAACAAGGGATAAACCTCTACTCCTGTTCAAAAAGCCATGTACGATTGTTAAGACTAGACTACCCATAACCCATTGGGTTACTGATGGTCCAAGTTATAAAACACTGAAGTTGATATCAACATTCCATTAAAATGGAAGTTAATTTTATTATGATTTAGTTAAATATTTCAATTCATTCGTGTCATCATTGGTTTGGTTTACAAGTTCATGTTTAACATTTTACTGATTGTTTACAGCATTTAATAGGAATAGAACTTCTGGGATAATCTTGAACTTTAACTTTTAAATATTTTTAAAATATTGTTTGTTTAAAGAAAGCTGAAATATAAATAATTACTCTACAAACAACTGAATGAAACAGCAAAAAATTGTCTGTTTGAAGTTAGTTAAAATAAATATACTTACTGTATAAACAACTCATAAATCATTATGTGCTGAATAGAATGCATCACACAAGCATCCACACAATTACAGATTTTAAGCATTATATAGATAGATAGATAGATAGATGATACATTCGTCATTACAATTGTTTTTTGCAAAACGGAAATTACTTATGACTCAACCTAATGTCGTAAATGGACAATTTACATTTGGAACTTGACCCTCTTGCAAAAAACAGGTACTATACTAGTTTTAAATTAAAAATTTGAATTTTATAAGTTGTTGCAAACCGACAATTTTCTTTTATCAAATACATTTTTTAATCATTTCACCACAAGAAAGGTGATAATGCGACTAGGATACAGAAGAATTTAGGAGGAAGCAGAAACCCAATCCTAAACAGGAAATAAGGGATAAACCTCTGCTCATCTTCAAAAACCAAGGAGAAGTGTGAACCGGACGATAGGTGAGTATATCTACTCCTATTGAAGAAGAAATAAATAAATAGTAAATAACATTTCAGAGTTTAGACGGAGGCATTAAACGTATAGAGTTGAAGTAGACATTAGAAGGAAGTAGTCATTAGAAGGAACCGGAAACCCAATCCTAAACAGGAAACAAGGGATAAACCTCTACTCCTGTTCAAAAGATGGGAGAGGAGTGTGAAGTAGTAAATGATCGACTTTTTACATAACAACACCTACTAGTTCTATGACACTCACTACCCTGATGATGAGTTAGGAACGTTAAAAGCTTGAACCATATTTCTTGTACATTTCTTCCAAAATGAATTTTGGACAATTTCTGACATAATTTCCTCCTTGCCCGAGAAGGGTTATTCATAATTTGGAAAATCCAATCATTAATCTTTATCATTCTGTAATATTCATAAGTATATCTTCCATTAGGTAGAAGTGACCAGATAAATACAATGGCATTATCTTCAATTTTCAGTTAGTCTTTCTGTTAATCATTTTCCTGTTGCCATAGTAGGATATGACAACACTAGCGCAAAATTCAACCACACTATTGTCTGATGATCAAAGTTGCATGTAGTGGCAGTGAAAACATTTTGTTTGACAAATGAAGTCACCCACATACAGAGTGCTAAAGCTTAATCGACACTAAATGTTTGTAGTCGTTAATATTTGGGGTTAAAAAAAAAAAAAAAAAGGACAAAACTTGTGTTTAATAAATTGTTGTTTTCAGATGAAAATTATGTTCAATCACAGTGAATGACTGTAGAACACTTGTCCCTCCTCTGTTATAGGTAGAAGTACACAAATGCATGCTGGGATTTTTTCTTAGCCAATAAAATATGCCGATTTGCAGTTTGACATGACACAGTCTTGATCTGCGTTGTCTAGAAGACAGAACACTACACTTGTTCAAACTCGCTTTTGTTTGTCAATGCCAATTCTTAGTTTATGAACTTTTTGCCTTTTTACCTGTTAATTTGCTTTGCATATATTCTTTGCTTGCTTGCTTGATATTATTTCATATCTCCCCTGTTCCTTTTTTCTTTTTATTGCAAACTTTGTTAATTCTGTTTGTGGGGCAGTTCTGTTATTTATATTATTTGGACTATTGTCCTCATCTTTGTCGCCATATTTATTACAACATTTCAGCCGTTGTACTCTCTGGCCTTCTTCAGGTGGTTGGAATGTCAAACTGAACCCTTTATTTTGCTCACTAGGGTAGACTGTTCTACCATGTTGTGCCATGTTTAATGGATATCAGTTATCAGTTATCTCCTGTTAATTTCCCTCTGAAAGTTCTCCACTGCCTTAACCAGGTATTGAACTCACATTCTTTGGGTTCTGTCCTGGATCTAACCAACGCCTTTATCCACTGTGCCATGTGTCCTTGAGGATATGGTGACAAAGATGAGGACAATAGTCTGAATAATGTAAATAATATACATAATACCTCATCTCAGAAACATAGACAGATACCGGGACAGTTCTGTTATTTATTTTGCATTTGACCACGGCTACTCACTCCATGAATTATTTTTCTGTTTTCAGTTACAACTTGGCTTTTTCTACAGTGGCTGCAGGAGAAAATCTGGCAAACCAGAGGGAACCCTGGTTTTAGGTTTTTAACTCGTTTTTTCTTTCTGCTTTTGCTCCACAATTTGAAGGAGATAGTCCTCAAGGTTGAAGATGGAGGGCAGTGTGTGTTACCATCCTAACTCTAAAGCATGTCCTTATGTTTCATGGTCCAGCAGGTTGGAGTGGTGGGAATAATGCTCTGAGGAGATGGATTTCTTGGACAGATCTAAATTATAGATAAACAAAGTTACTAATACACAATTCAAAAAGGACCAGATAATTTTTCAGGAGACTTAGAAGATAAAATAGCACAATTTAAAGTTTTCAAACTTTAGAAATAATTTTTAGAAAGTATTAATCATGAAACCTGCAAGCACAGTATCTATGCATACCATAAATACGTAAGTGTAAGCTTAATTCATGTATAGTACAACCCACAAATTATTTTGCATGACTTTTAACCCCCGCCTGAAAAAAAAAAAAAAAAAAAAAAAAAAAATTACCCATGTATTGTGCAACTAGTCACCCAAAAATACATGACTTAACCTCTTCAAAAAAAAAAATTATCTGTGTATAGTGTGACCCCTAATTTTGCATAAAAATGAATTATAAAAACTATTCTTGAGTGTGTGTATATATATATATATATATATATATGTAAAAGAATCAAGAGCATTGTGATTTCCCACCTGATGAAATGTTGAAAAAATTTTTTTAACATTGAAACAAGATGTACAGTTTTGTAGTGGGTATGTGCATGTTCTAATGTAACACTGCACATATATATATATATATATATATATATATATATATATATATATATTTATACACACACACACACAGACAGAGAGAGAGGGTGCAATGGGTAAATTGTCGCCATTTTATATGTGTGTTGTTTGTTTTTGATTTGTCAACTACAAAGTATAGTAAGGTCAGTTGGGCACAGTCTGTGAGCAAAAGAACACTATAATGCGATTCACTTCACTAGAAATTTGGAAAATGCATGCTGCACTGTTTGTGATTCGTGCTGGAAGTTCCAATCCAAACAATATAAGAGTGTCAATCTGAGGACAGTGCAAAGGTTTTGGAAAGAGTTGGATGAGTCCAATGATGATTACAAAGGTGTTTGGAGTGATCACGAGTGATGGCGATGTTATGCTGCCATTCATTTTCCTATAGGGCATCAGACTCAACATGGAGGCCTACATCAAGTACCTTGAGGAGGTAGTGCTGCCCTGAATCAAGACGGTGGCTGCTGGAAGACCTTATGTCCAGCAACAGGACTCTGCACCATGCCACACAAGCAGGAGAACTGTCAGACAATTTCTGCAACCATATCACCTCTACATCTGGCAACCTAACTCCCCAGACTGAAACATCCTTGATTATAACGTGTGGGGCTCAGTTAAGCGAGAAACCAATAAAACTCCTTGCAAAAACCAAAGATGAACTAAAGGCAAAGATTATGGCAGCATTCACCAACTTAAACAAGGAGACCATCCAGAAGAGTTTCAGGAGATTCTGAAGTTGTTTGGAGGCCATATTAATTTTTTTTTTTTTTTTTACCTGTCTTTACCTGTTCAGGAAATTAATGACATCACCTACACAAAGATTTCTTTTATGACTTTCTGACACAATTACCAATATATGAAGTTTGTTTTTATAGCCAAAATAGATTGAATGATATTGAGCCCACAGCATAATTGATCAAGTACCTCTACAACAAGGAAACTAGACCATTTATTGCTTATGTGCAATGTCCTTGGTACAAGGCAATACCTACAGCAGGGAATGGCACATAGAAGACATTAATGAGGTATTGGCAGGGCATAATGGTCGTGCGAACTATATTCATATATTCTTTTATTCAAATTCCTTAAGGTTGCATCTATGTATTTCTTGAGAGAATTTTACAATCTATAGCAGCATTTTTCAACCTTACTCTTGTAGAATCCTTTAGTTTGCCTGTCTCAGGTAATCCCTGCATAAAAATTATTAAAGAAATAATGGATTTTTTTTTATTCATTAATCCGACAGGTTTTATCACTTAAATGTTATTTTTAGTGAATACTCAGATTTGACACTTTCTTTATATTTTTTAAACAGGTTTGGTTTGGTTAGTTTTACGGCACATCAACATCTCAATGGGTTATTTAATGCAGACAAAATTTTTATTGTTGGTAACATTTTCTTTTTCCAAAAATCTATTTCTGGTACTATTCTTTCTTTCAAATATGTATCGCTAGTGATATTTTTTTATTTTTTTTAAACTGTATAGCTAGTAATATTTTTTTTTTCAAAAATGTATTGCTGGTAATAATATTTTTTACAAAGTATTTCCAGTATTAAAACCCCATTAGTGTTTTAACCCCTTGTTTTTGGAGGGGGTTAACTATTTGCACATAGCTGGGACCCTGACAGGTACTACCACCCCAGATCAGGGTGGACCTGGGAACATCAGCAATTAACAAGTGGTTCTACGCTCCTCAAAACCTCCTGATAAGATTCCTTGCTGTTGGATGTAGTTTATCATCTTATCCAGGATGCGGATGTAATTTATCATTTTACCCAGGATACGGATGTAGTTTATCATCTTATCCAGGACACGGATGTAATTTATCATTTTATCCAGGATGGTTTTAAACAGGGTATTTCTTTATATTTATTACTGAAAAATACAGCAATTGTGGCACGAGGCCAAAGGAGAAGAGTGAGGAAAGGCTGGTCTCTGCTTACTATCCTAGTTAATCACAATCACGACTCATTCATCCAATACAATTTATTCATTTACCTAAAGAATGCATCCCTCACCACTCAATCTTGCATATACCGCAATACCACATTCACAGGGGTCCTACAAAACACGCCATGTTATAAAAATCTTGTGAAAGTTCATAATAAAAATATATAAAAATTTCATGAAGTGGGAGGGAATGAACCCCTGAAACTAACAAAAGATTGTAACAAAGCAAATTAAAAACAAATACAGATGTTAGTAGGACCCATCCAACACTCAAAATAATCAGAGTGGCCGCTGTATTTTGTCGATAGACAGAATCAAGTACCACACTCACTAATGGTTTAGCTTGGTTTGTTTTACGGCATATATCAACCTCAATGGGTCATATAATGACGACAACTTTTTTTTTTCCTGGAAATATTTTTGTTTTGTCCAAAATCCATTTTTGTTAATATTTTTTTCCTCAAAAATGTATAGCTGGTAATATTATTTTTTTTCAAAAACGTACAGCTGGTAATATTTTTTTTTTTTTTCAAAAACGTACAGCTGGTAATATTTTTTTTTTTTTTTCAAAAACGTACAGCTGGTAATATTTTTTTTTTTCAAAAACGTACAGCTGGTAATAATATTTTTTTTTTCAAAAACATACAGCCAGCAACATTATTTTTCCAAATACGTATTATCAAAGAACTTACTATTGGACGTACTTTATCATCATACCCAAGACGTGGATGTAGTTTATTGTGTTACGAACCCCAATCTAGATTTATTATAAAAAAATATACCATTGCTTATATCTAAAACAAAGAGCCCAGTACTTGCAGAAAATGTAAAGATAGTAAACCCAAGGAAGGAAGGTAGACTTTGTGGCGGCAAGGATTGACCAGAGTGTCCCCTTTCCTTCTCTTTTGGTCAAGGTGTTGACAGCATGATCTACGTGGATAGGTTCCGGTTGGGATAGGTTGAAACATTTTAAACTAAACTTTCTCTGACCATGAAGATAAGAGAGGGAGTCGTTGACCCCATTCCACCCATAATGGGAAAAGTTAGTATTTTGAAAATTGACCATGTGGCAAGAAGAAAACAGAAACGAATAGTGAAACAGAAAAGTTAGTCTTTGCCAGGCCTGTGGGCTGGCCAGACGTTTGGCAAATGTCTCAGTATATGGACTGAAAAGATGTGTTTGCAAAAAGTGCGAGGAGAATTGGTCTCCGAGTTGGATAGCTGGACCCGCTTGACGATGTAAGCAGAACGCCGCTATATCGAGGAGAAAGAAAGCAGTTTCAACCGGCATCAAGCCCTTAAACGAAGGATGAGAGGGAAAAGAAAAGAAAGAAAGAACAAATCATCTTGAGCAAGAATGCTGTTATACCAAGACGAAAGAGAGAGAGAACGTATTTTCTGCTTCATCATCAGCCGAGCCCCTAGATGGCGAAAAGAAAGAGAAGTAAGAAAATACCTAAAAAAGAGACCCTGATAAAAAGAAATAGAAAAGGAAAAAGTAAAAGATAAGACTAAGAGACATTGTTAGTGAAAAAGGACTTTATTATTCTGAGTTAAGTTTATTTTTCTTGTACCCCATTTTGTTTAAATGTACCTCTTTTTCCTATTTGTACTTTTATGCAAATTTAGCATGAAATCCTTTTATTGTATGTTTCTTCCCACATTGTCTTAAAATATTGATGTTTTGTGAATCTGTGCAGTTATAGCACATGTTCTATAAATTCGTGGCAGTATGGCACAAGGCCATACGCTGATTTTTATTTTATCTTTCTTAAAGGATACTCGCCTCCCACTATTTTGTCCTCAATGTTTAAATGTTTATTCTTGACATATCGTCATTTTTGTTTTGGCCGTTTTTTTTATTTTTATCTTTTCCACGATTCCATGTTTGTTAATAAATTTATATTTCCTGTCTCCATTGTTGTTTGTCGCCTACCGTGTTTGTTCCTTAATCGATTCCATCCGGCCGTGTCTGATCAATCGGAAAGAGACCCTTGGGAAAGAAATATATTTAACAAAAAAATGTAAAATGTTAAAAAAAAACAAAATAACACAAATTACGACCCTCCTCTACCTTCGCTATCGATAAGGTTGGAGAAAGAAGGAAGGAAGGAGATGGGGGTTCGTAAAAATTGTCATACCCAGGATGAACTCACTGATGGATTGGGAAGGGTAAAATAAATAAGGGAATGGGAAAATCAAATTCTGACCCAAACAAGATGAAAAAAAAGGGGATAAAAACAAAGTGGGGAGGTTGCGGAACCTTTTTTTTTTTTTTTTTAAACAGAATATTTATTATCATCTACCAGGCTGAATATTCGAGAAATCTTATTAAAGAAAAAGATGCACCCTCTGGCAGGACTTGAACCTGAATTCCAATTAGACACTAATAAATGTACTATTTAAAAGTAAAATGAAAATACTACTCAAATATGGTTATCCACTAAAAAATAATGTTTAAGTAATAAAAATAAAAGTTATTATATACTTTTATAAATATCCATCTCTTATATTTTTACCGCAATTTACATGGTAAATATTTTTTCAGATAACTGGCTTGAGGAAAAAATTACCCCCTTTTTTTCAAATTTATTGGCAATGCAAAAAAAAAATATATATATATATATATATATATATATTGCTCATTTATGAGACTTCACACCGAGGTTTTGTTAGTTCACACGACCACTACACCCTGCCAATACCACATAAATAATGGACTATTATCACATGTGGAAAGAGGGGGAAAAGACACTACTTGGTTTCAGTGAGTAAAAAAAAGAAAGAAAGAAGGAAAGATAAAAGTCTTTAACGTCTGTTTCAGAGAAATGGAAAAAGTTGTCAATTTCATTTTTTTTTTTTCATTTGCACCCCCTTACTTCTTAAAATAGCGACCAGCATTCATATTTATGATCGTTATTGCTCAAATATTTTTTTACGATGTGATAAAGGAATTTTTATGGATATTATATTGTCATAGTATTTACCATGAGCTTATTCAATCATTAACTTAAGAAATAAGATTCATCAGAATATTAAAATCTGAAAACCGTGAAATTTTCACGGGTTAATACTACTTATAATTTATTATAACAATCAAATATTTTCCAACAATATGCCGTACGTATATAGTTTGATTTATTTTGTTTTACAGCATATCAACCTCAATGGGTTATTTAATGCTGACAAGATTTTTTAGGATAGGTTTGTACGAATAGAATATGTAAGAAATCAGTTTGGTTTGGTTTGTTTTTTTATGGCATATTAACCACAATGGGTTATTTAATGCTGACAAAATTTCCTTTTTTTTCAAAAATGTATAGCTGGTAGTATTTTTTTCAAAAAAATGTATAGCTGGTAATATTTTTTTCAAAAATGTATAGTTTGGTTTGTTTTGTTTTGTGGCATATTAACCACAATGGGTTATTTAATCATGACAAGATTTTTATTGCTGGTAAGATCTTTTTTTCAAAAATTTGTTGCTGTTACTAATTTTTTTTTTTTACAAAGTATTTCTGGTATTAAAATCTATTTTTACACTTTCATAGTCAGGTTGTGGGGTCAGCTATTTGCCCATAGCTGGGACCTTAACAGGTGCTACCACCTTGGGTCAGAGTGGACCTGGGAACAACAGCAATTAAAAGGTGGTTCCACGCTCCTCAAAACTTCCTGGTCAGAGGCCTTGCTGCTGGACGTAGTTTATAGTCTTACCCAGGACAGCCATAGGTGTATAGTAAAATGTCGAATACAAAAATCAAACAAAAATTACTCAAAAATGCCTTAAACTATCACTGTTTCTCACAGAACCCTTAATGACCTCATGTGAAACCCTGGGGTTCTGGGGAGGTAGTGTGGTTGAGAAAGACTGGATTAAAGCTACAGATCACCAATATTAAATTGTCCTGGGTAAGACAATAAACTATATCCAACAGCAAGGCCTCTGATTAGGAGGCCTTGAGGAACGTAGAACCACCTCTTTAATGTTGATATTCCCAGGTCCACCCTGATCAGGGGTGGTAGCAACTGTTAGGGTCCCAGCTATGGGCAAATAGTTAAGCCCCCCCCCCCAAACTAGGGTCAACACACTATGAAAGTGTAAAAATAGGTTTTAATACCAGCAGTAAATTTTTGAAGAATTATAACCAGCAATACATTTTTTGAAAAAAAAAAAAAAAAAAAAAAAACATTACCCGCAATAAAAATCTTGTCGGCATTAAATAACCCATTGAGGTTGATATGCCGTAAAACAAAACAAAACCAAACAAATATTAAATATTTTTTATGATGTGATAGGGGAATTTCTACGGATCTTATATTGTCATAGAACTTGCCATGAGCATATTTGATCATTAACTGAAAAATTAAGATTCATCAGAAAAACTGTGATATTTTCATGGATTATAACAAGTTATAATTTATTATAACAATCATAGATTTTCCAACAAAATGCCATACATATATAGTAAAACGACGAATACAAAATCAAACAAAAATGGCTAAAAAAAAAAAAACCCCCTTCAGCCCATTTTTTATTGTTTTCTCAAAGCCCCTAGTGATCTCTTGTGAAACTCTGGGGTTCCGGGGAACACCGATTGAGAAATAACTGGTCTATGGTGTTCTCAACATCCTTCTGTAGAACCAAACATCCGCTGCTTCTAGCCTCCTCTTTGTCTCTGACAAAATTATCCAGCATCTGCTGATATAGAAAAGATTTCATATCATGTTGTAAACATATGACCACTTGTCCTGTATTCAAGTTAGTCACTCAATGATACTCGACTCCACAACATACAGGTCCTGTCCACTGAAGGCGGGTCTCATCCTGACGCCATAATTTAGACATCGCTAAATAGATTCCCCATGATTGTTATAATTTTAAATAATATAAAATTTTATAATAACCAAGAATTTTACAACAATATGCCTTACGTGAATATTAAAATTACTAAAATAAAATTTAACAAAAATTACTCAAAAATGCATTGGCCAATTTATCATTGTTTCTTATTGAACTCCTAGCGACCTCTTGTAGAGCTCTATGGTTCTGGGGGGAACACCGGTTGAGAAATAACTGGTCTATAGTGTTCTAAGCATCCTTCTGTAGAATCAAACCTCTGCTGCCTCTAGCCTCTTCTTCAACTCTGACAAAATTATCCAGCATTTGCTGTCATATAAGAGGACTAGCAGTAGAGCCCGGCATTGCCCGGGGATGTAACAGTAAGAGATAGATCAAGTATCGACCATCATAAAGACTGAAAAATAAAATTGACAAAGATTATTGTTTAAGGTTGAAGGACACGCATGTCTTAATTAGTTTTATTTTTTTTTTTTTTTTTTTATGAATTGGTCAAACCCAAACTCAAACAAAAACATTGTTTTCACTCGTTATGAGTCTACCGATTGAATAGAATTTTATTATAAACAATTGTCTTGTAAATGGAATTTTTAAAGCATTCTGAATGTAAAAATAAAGAAAAAAGTGCGCAAGACAATAAGAAACACTACCTGCCAAAAAAAAAAGAAAAAAAAAGTGAAGTTTTGTTGAAATTGGTTGAAAAATGTAGGAAATCCGATCCCATATATAAAGGAACACACACACACAACCAACCTGGGTTTTATTTATTAATAAGTATAACTCGATATGAGTTGTCCCCCTTTCATTAATGCCTCTTAATCGTGTTTTCAAATTGATTTCATGCAAAAACAATTGTTTTCAATTTTGGTGCTGTCAGAACCACCGCAAGGTAATTTTACGTAGTCCTGTGAAGTTTTGTTGAAATTGATTGAAAAATGTAGGAAATCCGATCCAATATATAAACATACAGACACACACACACACAATCTGCTTTTTATAATAAGTAAGATTCATATGTTTACTTCATTCAAACATCAGCTTCCTTTCACTCAGTACTTCGAATAGTCTCCTCCCATAAACACGGGTCTATAATACAAATTCCTGCTTTAGGCTGATATATTGTTTAGTATTAATTAAATCTTTTGTTTTTTTTTTAAGTAGATTTAAATTTTATATGAAATTGAGATAATTTTTTTTCAAGAGTAGATGTTATTCAGTTGGTTTGGTTTGTTTTACAGCATATCAATGTCAATGTGTTATTTAATGCCGACAAGATTTTTATTGTTAGTAATCTTTTTTTTCCAAAAATATATTGCTAGTAATATTTTTGTTTTCAAAAATGTACTCCTGGTAATAATTTTTCCAAAAAAGTATTGCTGTTATTAAAACCTATTTTTATACTTTCATAGTGTTTTGACCGCTTTGGGGGGAATTAACTATTTGCCCATAGCTGGGACCCTGACAGGTGCTACCACTCTGGGGTCAGGGTGGACCTGGGAACACCAGCAATTGTAGTTTATCATTTTACCCAGGACACATTATTGAGTTGGTAGGT